AGGTAGTAGCTCAGCGTCTCCTCGGACCACTTGGGGCTGCGCTCGTCGCGCTCCGTGTTCTTGAGCTGCATGAACTCGCCCTCGACCAGGTTGGCAATGACCGTGGCCAGCAGCTCGACGACCTCGGCGTTGCGCAGCCGCGCCAGGGCGACGGATGCCCTGCCCAGGAGGAAGTCGCCCGCCAGCACGGCCATTTTGTTGCCGAACTCGAGGTTGGCCGACGGCGCCCCTCGCCTCGAGACGGAGTGGTCGATGACGTCGTCGTGTAGCAGAGAGGCCGTGTGGATCAGCTCTGTGATTTCGGCCAGCCGCCTCTGGCTCGGGAGGATGTCGAGGTTCGCGCTGGCGGCTTCGGCCAGCTCGGCGTCGTACGCCGTGGAGTTCGCCATGGGGTTGACGTCGCTGAGGATCTGCATGGGCGATATTGACGAGTCGATGCCGCGCGCCGTCTCGGGCGCCGCGTGGCGCGGGCTCTTGGGGCACAGGTGGGTGGCCCGGGACATGAGCAGGACGATGAGCGGCCGGACATGCTTGCCCTCGGCCTGCGTGTAGTACTTGGCGACCCGGTCGAGGGCTGGGTGGCCGGACCCCAGCAGCTTGCGGATGTTGCCCGTCAGGAACTTCATCTCCTTGGCCACGGTGCGCAGCGGATCAATCGTCATGGTGTCCTTGGCCGCCCGCTTGGCGACGTTGCCGACCATGTTGGTGGCCACCTGGACGGCGGCCGCCCACGCGGAGCCGCGGTTCGCGCTCGAGTGCAGTCCGGCTCGCTGGAAGCCCAGCGCCGAGATGGAGGCGGCGGCAGAGCTCGAGCTCGCCATCACGGGCCGGTGGCAGACATGGCAGGTCGACGTCGCCGCTCCCATTCGGCCGCGGAGAGCCGCCGGAGCTCCCGCACGGAGCCTCATCTGCGCAGACGGGGGGGAGGGGAAGAGTGTTTGCGGCAACTTCAGGCGAGACACACGGCGCGGGCTGGAGGATCGCTGATAAACAAATCGGGGTCTCGCAGCGTCTGGGCAACCGACTGCGATCGGGATGGTGGTCAGAGAAGGGTCTCAAAGTCGCGCAGCTTCTTCGTCAGCTTTTTTTTGCGTTCGTCGTGTTTGGAGTCGCAAAATCCCCAGCCGGCCGAAACTTTTGCAGCGCAACTTTGGCGGGACCTCCAAGCCAAGGCCCGAGAGAGGCGATTGAGGGGCAATCCGGGACCGAACCGCAGCTGCTCATTGGCCGGACCCTTGCTGTGGCGGGCGTTCAGCATGGCACGCCCTGGAGCGCAGGGGTCGCAGGCCCTGTAGCGCTGCTGCACAACAGCTTGGCCGCTGTAGCGGTGCCCTGTATGTGCTCGGGCGCCCAATGAGGTCAATGGCCCGGTTCGGCAATCAGATTAGAACGGCATCCAATCCAAGCTGCTGGAGGAAATGCCCCGCACCAACCATAGCTGTGCCGAGATAGCTGCTCGATTACGATGGTTGATACTTGACAACCAAGGTTCATCGGTCGACTCAAACTTACTCACAGGCCTCACACCGTAACCGCCTTGATTACAACAACCAGACTCCCATTGCCATGGTTCTACTCACAATGACGCCGTCCATTGTGGACGCGCTGAAGCTGCTCGACGACCTGCGCACGACAGACGAGCCCGGCAACGATGCCAACGAGCAGCAGCCCAACACCGAATCATCATCACCCTCATCACCAGCCTCATCACTAGAGCCAGCAGTCGGCAATCCCATCTCCCACAGCGACATAATCGACATCCACAAGAAACTGAAGGCCTCGCAGTCACCAGCACCCAAATACAGCCTGGAACAGCTGCTCCAGGGCTCCCGCGTCTACATCCCACCTCCTCCCCCCAAACCCGAACCAGTCAGTTGCCCACCCAATCATCCAACCCAGATGCAAATCATCTGCAATCATCGCTTTAGTACTGACAGTCGTCTCTACGCACGAAACAGTCCGAAGAAT